AGGAATTCCCTCCCCACCTCTGCCTTGCTGAGAAGATGTCTGTGTATTAGCTAGCAGACCACCTGCTGGCTACGGTCCGTGCTGAATCAACGGGTAGAATCAACAGGGAGCATCAATAAGTAGCTGGTAATGTCCCTCTGTTGTTTTCATAATTGGGTGATAAACACTGTTATCAGTTCCCTGCTGGGCTAATCACAGCATCCTGCCAGAGCCTGGCCATGCCCGCCCCCCCCCCTCCCCCCAGCTCCATGCTGTAGAAGAAAGGGAGGGCTGTTCTAGCAGCCCCCTGTTTTTAGCCTGAGTCACTGCAGGCATGTGCTTGCATTTCTGGGGTGTCTGTCCAGTTACAAAATGGATTTAGCCTAGCCAGGTTAAAGTATCCTGCAAACATTGAATCAATTCAGGCTCAGGGTTTTTGAATGTCTGTTCCTAGCCCTCTAGTTATAGCAGTTATAGTTATATTTTCTAGCTGTCGAACCCTGACTGTGATCTCATACTCTTTGAGAGTAAGATTAACCGTGCTAAAGGCAATAGAATTACAGCCTTTTAATATCTGGGCAAGTAAGATCAAAATAGGGCCATAAAATTAGCAGTCGGCTAAAACCAGTAGCTTTCATTACTATTACCTCAGTTTTCCAACTCAGCTGAGCACAGTTTAGGTTTCAGCCTCTTATGATAGCTGTATATCACTTCTCAGGCCCTCCAAAATTCCTGCCGCAAAACAAAGTCAAGACCTTGATGAGCCTAATATTCCAAGATACCTGAAAACCATCTTCAAGTACTGAACCTTAAACTTACAAACATACTTTTAGCTGCACAGCAATTAGGCATATTATCAATGTCTTATGGTTGAACTGATTGTCTTATATTTTCCATCTCTCAATAATTGTTTTACAAACCAAGCACATTGTGAGCTTGGAATGCATTTTTGTGATAGGTGAGTCTTCTCCTTTAGTAATATACATTTCTGTTTGGTGCACTGAAATGTTGTGTTGTCAACCCCCAATGTTAAAAAAATTACAAGATTTAAATACATAATAAATAGTAGATTGTTCTTCTCTGCCTTCTTTTTTCTGAACTTATAAGTCACTTGCTGGTTATATTGTCAAGCATCTTACCCACATTTGCAAAAGGTATAAGCTTGCTTTTCTTAAAATACAGTAACTATTTTTATGTAATCACTTCCAGCACCTGGGCTGTTTAAGAAAATGCTAATGTATATATCATGAGACTTGCAATAAAACCACAAACGTAGACAACAGTGGGCACGCTGTCTACACAAGACACTTAATGTGCAGTAACCTAATAACACTGTGCAGTAGCGTGTCACAGCACAGACAGTTCTAATATACTACTGCACAATATTATTAGGCTTCTGTGCAATAACATCACTAAAAAGTATTTCATTAAACAAGTACTAAATTAAATGTGCAGTAAGTACTGTGTATTAATGAACGCATAAATGTGGTCAGTGAGAATGAGATGAACTTTCTCCTGTTCCTAATCATTTTGAGCCCCTACAGTATTTGATGGGAAGAGATCAGTTGCTGATATAGAAACTGGTTCAGATAAATGAGAGGTTTTAAGAATTTCACGGATGGACTTTCTAACGGGAATTTGTTACATTCCAATAGTAAGTCCTTATAGCAGCTGCCTATGAGAGTTGGCCCCTCACTTTATTTAAACTCTCAGTCATGCTGGGAGCTTTAATGGCTTTAGTGGTGTGTGAAATAGGGGCAAACCTGTGATGCTATTTATGTCTCCTGTGGCATAAAAAACTAATTCAAAGGAACAAAATAATGTAAAAGCTCCATAGAATTAGTTAAAGCATATTCTCCACATCTACTTTGTAAGTTTGGCAGGACTGCAATGCAAAGTTTTTTGGCAATATAAAGGGGTGGTAGGACTCAGTCAAATTTGGTCCAAGGATCATCAAAATTTTCCAAAATTTTCCAGGGGGTTCTTTTGTGACTAATATTTTTTTGTGGGGTGCTCTCAAGTCTACTCTTGAAGCAAGTGAAAGACCACCAGATTGTAACACAGCATGTCATCTTCTTGTGACAAGATATTGCAACCTTGCATTACCCAGCTCCTTTGGCCCAGTATGAGCAGTACAGGGTTTCCTCTTCAAAGACTCCCAGTGGTAGGGATTCTGGCAGGTCTCCTCTCCCTTCCTCCCCATCCCCTCAATCTGTTACAGTGAGGGAGAAGCCCTGTGCTGCCACTATTCAGACATAGGAGCCAGACAACACAGCTCTGCACCATGTAGTGTATCTGGGGGCAGGAGACTTAGTGGAGCAAACAAAATAATTCCTCTGTGCTCAATTTGCTTGCTATGCCTCTGTCTTGTTTTATCACCAATGTTTTCAAGTTGTAATACTGTGATATAAATAATATGATTATGTGGAAAGGGAAAATCAAGAAAAAAATGTGAGGCACAGCAGGCAGACTTCTAGAAATCTGTTTGGTCACACCTAAATGAATGCTTTCACTGTGTTTTCTGTCCAAATCTGTGGTCTCAATTCAGGTTCATGGGCCAAGAATAACCCAAAGAGTACTACAATACCAGAGAACTAGAGACACTATTCTATTTAAATTCTTGCAATATTTTACTTATCCATGTTCTGATATCATTGTGCTTTCTTCCAAACAAAACCAGATGGAGAACTTTCCATACCAAATGAAGAAGGAGCTTTAGAGAATGGGCAGGCTCTGGGCTCTGGACAAGCTATGGGCTCCAGCCAAGCTTCACTATCATCCCTAGCAGAATTGGAATCAGGCTCAGCATCTGGGGAACCCTGTACATATGAGGTGCTCCCAACCACAGAGATCATGGATGGGACAGGTAACACTTCAGTTTTCATTCAAAGATATGGAGATACTTCTTTGTTAGGGGCTTTTAGCTGTTTAAAAATGAATTATGTTGCTTTTCAGTTTTTTACTTTTGATGTCTAAGACACAGGGGTGTTGTTTGCATACAGGAGTAGATATAAGCCAGAACCAAAATCCAGGACCCAAATACTTCAGAACCTGGAAAAAGTTTGGATCCAAGCTTCATAATTTGGTCTTGTCTGTACTCAGGATGGGGAGTGGGGTTCCCATCTTTCTTAAATATACTATGAGTGAGTAAATTGCAGAAATTAGTATGCAAGCTAAAATTATAGCTTATGCAGTGCAAATGTGGAAATTGTATAGAATTAATGTGTTTCTGATGCTATTGTATTGTATTTGCTCTTTGCAAAGAAGATTGTATAATAAGAGCAAAAGTAAGGCAAGTTTGCATACTTTTGTGTGTCAGACATGAATTTTATGCTTCATTAACTAATTTAACTGATCGAAAAATGATGGCTAATACCAAATGGTCAACAGATCTGTGGAACCCTCACACCAATCACTGAGGTAGAAAAAGGGTATTTATCTTGTGGCCAAAATGTTAAAAACTCTTACATCTTAGAATGGCCTCACCTCCTTCCAGGATTGCAGATTAGTTCCTCAAGTGCCAGTTTTTCAATGAGGAAAGTTCAGCAAAGGAGTTTTCCATACAGAAAATAAAGTGAAATGATGAATCTAACAGTTACTTGGATGTACTGGATCACTTACCAAAAAGTCCTCTTCACATGAAAACTAAAGTCTAATTATGAATGATTGAGTGATAGCAGTCACATTAGCATTAGATTTCCTTTAAAAGGGTTTGAGTTTCAATTTGTGTAGGAAGTAACATTGAGAAGCCTGGGTGACCATGCAAACCTCCAAGCCCACTAAATATGTCACAAGGGACCACAAGTTTTCTGAAGTGATTTTGATTGCTTCTTGTTTCTGTTCAGAGCAGACCTATCCTTTTAATTTTCTACAATATTCTATTTTTCTGGTCCTGGAGATGCAAAGGAATGTAAAAACGGGGGGTAGAGCAACCATATTATTATTAGTTATTATTAATCTGAACATTGAAATGATAGGTTTAAATTTTGGACCAAGATAATTTCAGCTTTTATATATTAGATCCAATCCATCCATCCTTGGTTCGCATGCTGAAGACTGTACATTCTCCCAATCGAAGCAAGAAATGTTATGCAAGGAAGTTCTAACTTTGTGGATTTAAAAGTAAGACAACTCTAAGGAGGCCTTTGCTAGAGATCTTTTTATAACTTCAGCCTTGGAAGCCAAATTAAACAGGAACTGCCTTAGTGTTCTGGTTTGGTTTTCTGCCTCTGTTGACCTTGTGGTAGTTAAAATGGAATATATTAAGGTGCAAAATAAGTCTTCTAATGTTGCTTGGTTGAATCTAGAGCAAATCTACTGCCTTTTTTCAGAATTTTTCCTGATTTGCACCAGTGTAAATGAATCCATAATTTGGCTAGATGTGATTAGAGACATGATATTCCAGTTGCTAATGGTTACCAGTGACATGAAGAAGTTAAAAGCTACAGTTTTGCCTTGCACCTGCCAGAGAAAAGCTATTCGATTAAACTGTACAACAGCAACAGCATAATAACTATCTCTGTATCTGCTATTTTGAGAGGCAGAGTGCTAGAAAAAGAAGCAAGTAGAATCACAACACCATTCAAATAATAGTAGGCTAAAAGCTTCCCCAGTGCTGAAAGGGCTCTGGTTCAGCAAAGAAGCTACAATAAGGCAGCAGGGCTTAGACAGAAGTTCAGGACCTGCTCTAACTCATGGTGCTTTACATAAAGCACCATAAGTTAGAGCACTCTCCCTGCTTCCCCCTACTACCCCCAACCCAACAGACATTTGCCTTTTGGGTAAGGAGGGATTGAGCCTGCCTGCACCAGCCTTCCTGGCAAACAGACAGGGGTGCTGCAGCAGCCTCCAAGGACACTACCAAACTGCCCTGGTCCCCAGCCCTGTCTCCTCCTCCCCTTCCCCCCCCCCCCCCCCCCTCGCCCCCCCACCGGCGCGCG